AAAAAGATGATTCTTCAAGGGTTCTTTAGTGAAGACAATGGTTCCATATAAAACCATGAATACCATTTCATGCTTACATGGTTCTTTGGATGGTGAAATGTTCTTCAGATTGATAGTGAATGTGTTGTACATGGTTCTATATAGAACCTTTTTGAAAATGGTTCTGTATAGCACCAAAAAGGGTTCTGCTATTGTTACACTGTCAAGCTTGTGTACAGTAGAAGAAGCATTTTTAATGCTGTATCGAACCATTTTCATAAAGGCTCTGTATAGAACCATATACAACACGTTCTCCATCAAACTGAAGAACCATTTCACCATGTAAACATGCAATGGTTCGTTGAGTATCCGTGGTTCTGTATAGAACCATTGTCTTTACTAAAGAACCAGTACCAAATTTTTAAGAGTGCAGTTTCAGAGTTACCTGATATTTTATTGCGCAATCTTGTTATTAGTCATGCAGTAAACAGGTGAACCGTTCTGAGTGGCACAGGTGCTGCAACTATGTACAAAATAAAGGAACCAAACGGTTCCCATTGTTTCCTGTAATAAAGAGGAATGACAGGTTTATGTTGTGGATCTGCTGCAGCTTCACAGTGACGTGGCTGTTTTATAGTGAACTCACTGTGTCGCTGTGCTGTACAGAGCTGTACATCCTGTTCTGTTTATTATTCATAAGAGAAGGAAACAAAGAATTCTCAGACATTCTGAGGGAAATCTGATGTACCTTTGGCTTTAAGGGGAATTCCAATTATTTTTCAAAATAAATTCCTCCATAATTCAGTGTGTGAGATGTAATCAGAGTGATTCAGAGTGGTTTGGTGTGAAATGGTTCAGATGTCTTTACAGTGGTGGTGATAGGAACCAGGGGTCGCCATGACTACAACACAAATATAGACATTTTATTTACTATCCAAAACCACCATTGAACCTACATGAGTCTTCTGAGTTTATATGGAATGTTGATGATGGAAAATAGTGGAAAATCTGAAATAATAAGTTTTCTTTGGGGACTATTTTACCTCACAATGTCCTACATGTATCCCTCCACCATGCATGGATAAAAATAAAAAATAAAAATTCACACCAAACTTTCTCAAAACTATTGTAAAATAAAAGTTTGTACATGTCTGTATGTGTGGTGAGGTCCATCTAGTGGTGAAGAGCAGGTATGACCCAGTGAAGCTTTACAGTAAGACTGTTCTGTCTAAGTCTGGTTCTGTTACTGTGGCAGTGTTTTATTCCTGCTGTTTGGATTTATGAACCAAAACACTGAAACCTTCCTGTTTTTTAATTCAGTGCAGACCAACAGTACAATTAAATACATGTATATCTGTTTCTCTGCATACTGCTACCCTGTTCTTCAGTGGTCAGAACCACCATGGACCCTCACAGAGCAGGTGCTATTTGGGTGGTGGATCATTCTCAGCACTGCAGTAACACTGACGTGGTGGTGGTGTGTTAGTGTGTGTTGTGCTGGTACGAGTGGATCAGACACAGCAGTGCTGCTGGAGTTTTTAAACACTGTGTCCACTCACTGTCCACTCTATTAGACACTCCTACCTTGTCGGTCGACCTTGTAGATGTCAAGTCAGAGACGATAGCTCATCTGCTGCTGCACAGTGTGTGTTGGTCATCCTCTAGTCCTTCATCAGTGGTCACAGGACGCTGCTATATGTGTATATATATATGTTCTTTTTTATACCTCCTCATTGTCTCTGTCCACTGACATCTGCTTAGTGCTTAATGTGAAAATGGCTCAAACGGACGATGTTGAAAGCCGTGTTAAAAAGCTGCATGTAGCCTATTGACACGAGGAAACAGTGTAAAAACACAGCAGTGATTACAGCCCCACTCAGCACAGAGACAGTTAGAGGATTAAACAATCTGCAGCCTCACAGTGACACAGCTGTTTTCTGGTGAACTCAGTGACCCCACTGTGCCGCTGTGCTGCACAGAGCAGAGCTGGACATGCTGTCCTGTTTACTGCTCAAAAGAGCAAAAAAGACAGCTCGGATTTTCTGAAGAACTCAAAAAATAGTCATAAATGTGATGTGATTGACACTGAAGGCCATTTGTTGTCTGTCTGCAGGCCTAATAATTAACATATAATAATGTATAATAATGTTTATATATGTAGAGAGATAACTAAACGTTATAAATGTATCATGATATGAGATTCCATAAAGAAAAAAAACAGCCCAAATCTAACGTAAGGATTTTAGGCTGGACACGGTCATTGGAGAACCCTCGCGTGCGATGAAGAACAGTACGTGCAGGCCCTGTTAAAGGCTGTAGGGCAAACATTGCCATTCCCCGCCCCTCCTCTGCTGTGCTGCCTTCAAGTGCTCCACATAGTCTCGTACTTCACTGTTTCTAAATCATACTGTCTGCATTTCTAACCTGCAGCCATGTGATGTTACTCGTTCAGACTCCTTCTCCTTTGTGTCTCTCTAATGCGGTCTAGCAGGTGTCCTGCTTTAACGTGGCTCAAATGAACAACGTAAACAAGCACTGTTGATTCTGTATTCAGGGCTACACAGCATGACTCGACTGTAAATTACACGAAAACCTCTAAAACCAAAAGGTATTTAGTCCAGATCAGGCCTGCCAAAGGTGTGGCCTACTTTTAACCCTTTAAATCCCAGGCTTATTACATACTTAGTATAAGTGGGTAATAATACTTTGGGCCCTCTGGTGAGTCACTTAAGTCACTTTAAAATGTATATTGTCTCTATATCTTGTGTACATTTTGTGGATATTTTGTGTATATTTAATATATTTCAGTTTGTTTTTCTTGTATTTTACTTTTACTTATTTTACTTTCTGTACAGTGATTATCTGAACCTTACCACAAGCATTTCAATGCATAAATGTTCTGACCTGTTGTGCAAATGACAAATAAACTTGAAACTTGAACTTGAAACTTGATTTCAAATCTCAAGACAAAGTCTGTGCACCTCTTGGTCTCTACTTGACCGCCCTGCTATAAATAAATAAAAAAATAAATACTGCCTCACAACGCCCTACGTCTAGCGTACTAGCCATTTTATTTACTATCCAGAACCACCAGTGAACCTACACGAGTCTTCTGAGTCTATATGGAATGTTGATGATGGAAAATAGTGGAAAATGTGAAATAATTAGGTCCATCTAGTGGTCAACAGCAGGTATGACCCAGTGAAGCTTTACAGTAAGACAGTTTAAGGCTCTGGTTCTGTTACTGTGACAGTGTTTTATTCCTGCTGTTTGTATTTATAAACTAAATTTATTATCCTCTAGTCCTTCATCAGTGGTCACAGGACGCTGCCCACAGGACGCTGTTGGCTGGTTCTCAGTCCAGCAGCGACACTGAGGTGTTCAAAACTCCAGCAGCACTGCTGTGTCGGATCCACTCAGTATATAATAAACGGTGATGTTAGATATGTTAATCTGTATCTTTTAATAATTTCCAAATTTGTCCAGGAGGAATTCCAGTATTTACAGTTACCATAAAAACCTGCTTTTGTCTAATCAATACTTCATTAAATCAGCTGATGGGACTGAACAGGTCATTGTGATGGCTGGAGCTCAGTGAGGAATCAGGAACCACCTGTGTTCGTCTCACTGTGTTCACAACCTGCAGCCTCACAGTGACACAGCTGTTTTCTGATGAACTCAGTGACCCCACTGTGTCGCTGTGCTGCACAGAGCAGAACTGAACATGCTGTCCTGTTTACTGCTCAAAAGAGCAAAAAAGACAGCTCGGATGCTCTGAAGGACTTTTATTTTTTTATTTAATGTAAAAAAAACAACAACATATAAAATCTGATGTGACTGACGCTGAAAGTCATTTGCATATACAGACATGCAGATCGATAGACAGGTGTTATGAACGCGTCATGACACAGGATTTAATGAAGAAACACGGACTAAATCCAACAGAGGGATTTTAGGCTGGACACGGTCATTAGAGAACCCTCGCGTGCGATGAAGAACGGTACGTGCAGGCTGTGTTCAAAGCTGGAGGACAAACATTTCCATTCCCCGCCCCTCCTCTGCCGTGCTGCCTTCAAGAGCTCCACACAGGCTCGTACTTCACTGTTTCTAAATCAGAGTGTCTGCATTTCGAACCAGAGACTAAAGTCTGACCACGCTCGGTCTCTATCAGACAGCCCCACTGAAAATAAATACATACATAAATAAATACATTTTAAAAACATAGAGACCACTGAATCTCTGTAGTGTGTTCTGGCTTTTCTTTTGGCTCCACGTTTCAGTGTGAAGGACCATAATAGTTCATCAGGTGACTCTACATGCGTCCAGTCACTTTCTAACGGGATCTAAAGGGATCTCACAGCACACCATTAAGCCAGTTCAAGCCATTAAAAAGCAAAACCACCATGTTTTAATAGTCTTCTGTCATATGTGACTTTAAGGAACCAAGCAGAACCCAGAAAATAAATAAATAAATAAATAAATAAATAAAAACTCACACATCCACCTTTTATTCTCTTTATACTGCAGTTTCTCCTTTTGCTTTTTTATTTATTTATTTATTTATTTATTTATTTATTTATTTATTTATTATCTATCTGTTTTTGCCTCATCTTAATCAATATTTACTCAATATTATTTTATTATCACTTCATCTTGCGCCCTATCAATGTCATTTTTATTGTCATTTTTGTTTCGTGTATGTTTTAGTGAGTACTTTGCTCTTTTTGCACTTTTTTTGTTGATTCAATAATAATAATAATAATAATAATAATAATAATAATAATAATAATAATAGGTCTTTTTCTTTGGCAGGGAGGGGCTTTTAATTTGCACCAGAGCTGCTTTATCTGCAGACCCCCCAGATTAATGCCGTATCGATGGGTGTTTTTGTAGTTTCCCGGTCTAAAGTTGAGATTAATCGCCGTTTCCGGTCAGAAAGCCGAACCCGGTCGTTAGAAACCGTTTTTCACGCACTTTCGGGGCTGATCCTGAACGCACCTCCAGGCCGGTTGCGTCACCCCCATTCACGAGGAGCGCGTCATCGTTGCGTCACAGAGAGCGTCCTCGTGCTCCGTCCCCGTTACCCAACAGTGAAGAAGCTGGTGCTGAAAGAGCGCGCGCGGACCAGCGGCACACAGAGACCAGCTTAAAGGTAAGAATGACTTCATTCACTGCGGCGTTCAGATACAGCCTGTCTGCAGGCCTCAGGGCAGAGAGACCAGCACGAAGGACCTCAGGACACACTTAATGACCTGATAATGACCAGTCCTCACTCACACGGTTGTGCTGTCCACTCTTTCACTGGTTCTCCAGTAAAATATGGATCATTAGCTGCTGAATTTGTCCAGGAATGTTCTTTACATGGTTACATGAGCTTCAACCTGAGGCCTCAGACCTCTGACCTTCACCAAAATGTCTGAGCCATAAGAGTCCTGTGATACTTACAGAAGAGTGATGTGACTGTGATGACTGTGATGGATCATGTTATTATTCACTAACTACAGGAAAGTCCTGTCAGAGGCATCAGAGCAGGTGATGCTGAGCTAAACTCCTAACTTCTGAACAGGGCAGCTGACTGAAGCACCTCTGTGGTAAAAACAGCTCGGTGTCTCCGTCTAATCGGAGCAGTGGGACCATCTTTAGGCCGCTGAAGGACTCACTGCCCTTACAGTGCATCTGTCAAGGGCACAAGTCACTAGCATAGCAAAGGTGAAGGTGATGATGGCGGTGGTGATGTTCTCTGTTGCAGTTTTCAGTAGTGTTTGTCATATAAAGTTCATATATAATGGATAAAGTGGGACGTAGAGGTGGGTGATATGGCAAAAACTGTAATATCACAACACGATATGGCCAGATATATATTTTTCTGATCTCTGATAATTTGGAAAAGACATATTTTTTTTAAAAAATGACCAAAAAATATGAATACAGTGATTTATATTCAACATTTTACATCCTACGCTGCACTAAAGACAACAAACAGGGCTAATTAGACTCTCTCTGTAATCAAACATGCAGTTGGGAAGTGTTTCTAAGGGCATATTGTGCATATTGTGATGTAATTTATCACGATAATGGTAAATACTGTCATATTGAACAGCCTGAATGGGATGCAATAATCAGAAAAGCATTGTTTTTATACTTTTTGATCAGCAAAATGTTCTTGTCCTCATTCAGACGCCATCAAACAGTGTCTTAAAGTGTCTCGATAGACCTGATAACTATATAAACATGTAATTATTAAAGTACTACTTCAGCAGAGGAGCTTTAAATAACTAGAAGTTACTTTTTAGTGGGACTTCTTAAGACCTACCATCACAGGAACTGAAGTTTGTAGCACTTTTTGAGAAGAATTGAGCCGTTTTGGTCTAAAATAAAGCACTACGGCTTAAAAGTGAGAGGAGTGATAAACAGTAAAGCAGGACAGGAGCCGAACCAACACAACAGAGTGAAATCAGACCCCCAAAAAGGACGTGAATAAAGAAAAACATGAGAAACGCCCCCTTAAGAGCATTTACTGTAGAGCTAAACTGCGTTCTGAGACAGCACAGCTCTGCTTTTACAGCATATAATGACTTTTTTCCCTTTTAAACTTGGAAATAAACAACAGAGAGGTTTAGAGTTTAAAAATTGTAAACAAAGAAAAGGAAAATGAAGGAGAAACATGAAGATTCAGCCCTATTTCTTGGTCTCTATTCAAATTTAATGAAATTTGTGACCTTATTTGAACAAAAAGCTCAGAGTGTTTTCAGTCTGGTCTGTTCCAGCGAAGCTCGTGTTCAGCCTCTCAGGTGGATCCGATCCGCTCATCAGGGGCTTTTGTGCAAACTTGCTGAGTTCATGCAGCTCAAGCGCTCGCTGTCATGAAAGCAAAAAAGGGGACACACCACCAAATAATAAGGAATTCTGAAATTCCTGTTAGAACACTAAAGATCCTGCTTTTCACTCAGGTTGTTAGGCTGATATTGATTTGTAATGAAAATCTTTTTACTAGATTAGAGAAGAATGTACAGCAGAAGCATTTCCAGTAGTGGCCTCAGACTTTTCACTGACGGATGTTCAGATTTGCTTGATATTTTAAAGATTTACAGTCGTGTGCACAAGTTTGAACACCCCTTGTCAAGATACAGGCAAGTGATAATAAGTTAACACACCCTCTACTGAGAACACGCTTAAATGAGGCATTTTTTCTGAACAATTTCTATTTATCTGCTGAACTTAGCATGTTAAATAAAACAGCAACATATTACATGAGCCGTAACTTTTACACAGGCCTTGTTTCATGTTTTATGATGTTAAATTCAGCAAATAAACAGTAATTGTGTGCTAAAGTGTGCAGAAGTACGTTCTCTGTAGAGGACCTGTTCACTCACTCACACTCAGAACATCAACAAAAGCGTGCATGGGTGACCAGGGGCGCACAAACTTTTTCACACAACTGTACGCGATGAACTCCAGGCGAGCAGAATGTTTAGATGACGCTGCGTTTCTGCGCTAAAACATCTGCATCCTCTTCACTTCACTGCATTCGTAACTGTACAGAAACAAATACTGTATTTCTCAGTAACACTAATGCAGGATCCAGTTCAAATACTGGATATTGGCATTAGAGCTGGGAAATATGACAATATATATTGTTAATGTGATAAATTATATCACTATACAGTACAATATGCTCCTCTGAACGTATCATGTATATCGTCAGAGCTTGTAGACACTGACCGACTGCATGTTTCATTATAAATAGGGCTAATTTAGTCCCGTTTAACTGGATTTAGTGCCAAATATTGTTTAAAAATCATTGTATTTACAGTTTTGATGGTATTTTTTTAGTATAGTTCTACTGTCTCTTTTTTCTTTGTTCCAACTGATCAGAAGCCTGAAAAAATAAATATTGTGACATATTGTGTATTGTGAAAATTTCTTAAAGCATCGTAATATTATAATTTGCCATATTGCCCAGCTCTTATTTTCTTTAGCCCACAATTCTCATATCAGCGCATCCTTAGTAAGGAGCTCCCCTGATGAACCTAGTGTCTAATTGTCATTTAGGTTTTACAGAATGCTTCATTTCTAATTAATTTTTGGAAATTGTTTTATTAATTTAGAACGTGTTATTAGTAAAATGCTGAAGTGCCATATTGTTAAATGTAATTCAAGTCTCTATCAGTTTCTGTCTTAATGAGTCCACTTTGAAAAAGCTGTAACAAAAGAAGAAGTGCTGTGAGAACAGAAGCTGATCTGTTCTTGCTGTCCGCCTCTGCGTGACACTCAGAAAGAAACTGAAAAAAACAAAACCAGCTGCTCTCCATGTTAAACAAGCTGGTATGATGCAGACGGTGGGGTCTTCAGCCCAGCCATGCCATGCGCTCTGTTCTCCACGTAGACAACGTCGAGGAAGGAATTTTAATGATGGAGTTACGCAACAAATAATTATAAGCCAGCGGGGAAAACCGTAAAGCTGGACGGTCTGGTGCGGAAAACAGCTCGTTCAGCTTATTGTCTCGATCTTCAGCTTGACTTGGTGTTGAATAGGATTCAGAGGATCACACTTCTACATGAAAACGAATCATTTGATGTGGTTCCTGAATCAGCACTGTGCAGGTTTGACTCCCAGTGCTGTAACTTGGAGTCAAACAGATCGTATCAAGAAAACTGCAGGAAGTAATGTTGTGGTTTCTCAGAGCTCCACCTACAGCAGCTGCTGAGGACGCCGGGCTGCGGCTTTTGTGACTTTTCTCATGGGGGGAGAAACCCGAGATGTCAGTCAGCAGACGCATTTACGGAGTAGGAAGTTGGCTGAGAAACAGACTCAACAAGAGTGTTTAGAAACTCCTGAAGGCATCGGTGGACAGACGTACCAAGCCAGTGAATCTTGGCTTTAAAAACACTTTATCGTATATACACAGATCAGACATAACATTCTGACCACCTCCTTGTTTCTGCGCTCATTGTCCATTTTATCAGCTCCACTTACTATATAGGTGCACTTTGTAGTTCTACAGTTACAGACTGTAGTCCATCTGTTTCTCTGATACTTTGTCAGCCCCCTTTTACCCTGTTCTTCAGTGGTCAGGACCCCCATGGACCCTCACAGAGCAGGTACTATTTGGGTGGTGGATCATTCTCAGCACTGCAGTAAGACTGACGTGGTGGTGGTGTGTTAGTGTGTGTTGCGCTGGTGTGAGTGGATCAGACACAGCAGTGCTGCTGGAGTTTTTAAACACTGTGTCCACTCTTGCCTTCATCAACAGGAATCTCCTGATGATGCGGGGCACCACAGTTACCACACCATCACATCAGCTATCGCAGTGATTACAGTTAGAAAATCTTACAAAATCTGTATTTAGAATATCTATACGTCCAGCGTTTCTTTTGAAATGAAGGTGTTAATAGTGAGTTTGTCCCCCTTTACACCGGTAACAGCCTCTACTCTCCTGGGAAGACTTTACACTAGATGTTGAACATTGCTGTGAGAATTTGATTGAGCATTAGTGAGGTCAGGTACTGATGTTGGAGGGTCAGTTCTGGATCACTCCAGTTCATCCCACACAGTTCCACTGCTCCACAGCCCAATGCAGGGGGGCTTTATACCCCTCTAGCCCTCGTTCTTGGTTTGGATGTTATCGATTCTCGGAAAATCTCTAAACTGGTGTAGAACCTTTACATTGTGTGGAGGTTCAAACGGCTTCACAATCACATCTCATTTGCAAAACCGCACCCTAGAAAGGTTCTTTAGGGAACCAAAAGTGGCTCCAAAGAAGCCCCTTTGGCACATTTATATTTAAGGACTGTACTATATGAGATACTTGGATATGTGAAAATAAATTTTATATGATAAATACAAATCATTAAACCTGCCAATCAGTGCAGAATCAACAGTGATTCAAATGTCATCTCTTTTGTTTCTCCTTTCAGTTCAGCCAAGATGTCGTACTCTGCAGTGGACAATTATGAGGAGTCCAAGCTCCTCAGGAAGGCCAAGGAGAACCCATTCGTTCCTGCTGGTGAGTTCTAATAAAAAAGTTACCCTAAATGACTAAACGACAAACTAACGTACTTTAGTCCATGTTTATAGATAACAGTGAGTCACACAGTGTCAGAAACCACATCATCAAGTCTGTTAGAGACACTGAACAACTTGACTTTATTATTTGGGCATGCAGTTAACACAGTGTTAGCACAATGCTAATTAGCTTGTTAAGAAAGCTTCTGATATTTGTTAGCTGTATTAGCCTCATGGCTGCAGTGCGAAACTGAAGAGGCATGCTTTTCTCTGCAGGAATGGCTGGATTCTTTGCGATTGTGGCGTACAGACTCTTAAAGCTGAAGCAGAGAGGGAACATGAAAATGTCTGTCCATCTGATCCACATGCGTGTAGCAGCCCAGGGATTCGTGGTTGGAGCGATGACCTTAGGTGTGACCTTCATTGTCTTTAACATAGTCTGATTAAAGCTGAAATCAGAGCTAAAGATGGTAAATCCAGAATATTCACTGAATATAGTCACCTGCAAGAAACCTCTATAACATCCACACTCCATCTTGTTCCCATGCTTTACTAAGTTGTGGCCACACGTTATGTTTCATTTATACAGGATGTCACCAGCGGGGCTCCGTACAGACAGTGTCAATGCATTTTACAATATAAACTGGAAAAACAAGCATCACACTTGTTGTTTCACATAAAACCAGTACTTCAGTATCTGTGAAGTCACTGATGTGACACATGACTTAAAATCAGTAAATTAATTAAAAAATGATCGTAATTTTTTGCTGTTCAATTTAGGAAAAGAACAAAGAATACACAGCCATCAGCTTTCCAATGTTTATTCTTATTTTGAGCTCGTTTTCATGGCTGTTAAACAACATTTACCATCATTTTAGTGCAGCGACCCACTTACGTCATTAAAGTTTGGTATTTTGTTCCCCAGTTTTCATTACAGGTTTGTTTGTATTTACTCAGTTTCTGAAGTGCAGTGTGTTTCCTGTCTCTTTCGCAGGTGTGGTCTACTCCATGTACAAAGACTTTGTTCTGAAGCCGGCGGAGGCGCAGAAAGCCCTGGAGCAGAAAGCTTTGGAGGAGAAGTGAAGAGCGGCAGAACTTAGTGTAGTCATATTTTTGGACCCTTGTATTTTCTTAGTACCTCAGATGTTCCTTGATATTTATTCTTAACATAATGTACTGACATGTTTTATAATACGTGTGAGAGGGTTTTAGAAGAGTTTAGTCTTTCTTGTCGTTCTATTAGGAAACCAGGCCAGCATATAACGTGGCAGCTGACCTTTTCCAGGCTGGTATGTGACGTGGCTGACGTGCTGCAGTTTACACAGTGCTAATGTAAAGTGAACGTCAGCCGTTCCTCATAAACTCTTATATAGCAGCTCTTTATGGGTTCTTTTTTGGGTTCTTTACTGTCTGCAGAACCATTCAGATGCAGAGATGTTCTGATGAAATCTTTCTCACTCATGCAGTGTTGGGTACAAAACAGTTTTCATGCTATTCTGTGATTTAACGTGTCTTTTTGAACTCATAACGCCATTCGTGTACAAACAGGATTCTGCAACTCTCAGCCACAGTTTATATGTGTATATAAAATTATTATTGTCTCTGTCATATCGCATCCTCATGTGAACATTTCATGACCAATAGAAATGGTCCAAAATGACTTGGAATAAAATCTTATTTACAGTTTACAGTTGTGTGCAAAAGTTTGTACGCCCCTGGTCAAATTCCATGTATTTGTTGATTTTCTAAGTGTAGAAATAAGTGAACACGTCCTCCACAGAGAGCATACTTCTGCACATTTTAGTGCACAGTTACTGTTTATTTACTGAATTTAACATATTTGGGAAAAGTTAAAGCATAAAATGTGGCCTGTGCAGAAGTTTTGGCACCTTTTATACTTTGTCACATTTTTTTCCAATATGTTATGCACTAAAATGTCATATGTAAGTGTGTTCTCCATAGAGGATGTGCAAAGTTATTTTCCTCAATACATCAATACATGCTCCATAATCAATAAACACCTCAAACTTTCTCTTGGAGGTGTTTCATGAGCAGCTAATGTGCAGCACAGCAGAGCAGCGGTTGAACGCATCTCACTGGCTGATCTAATGCAGGAAAATCAAGAAGGCATGTCATTTGACCAGGAGTGGGCAAACCTTTTTGTAATTAAATTCTTATTTTTAATAAATGTTAAGAAGAGCCATTTTGGCAGTAAACATGTCTCAGTATGTGCTAATGTGCTTGTATAAGCTAAACAATATAAACGAAAAGACAGACTTACTTTGCTCTGCTTTAACCTTTAGCTCAGCTATAGCTGCTTTTCTCACATCTTTGGCAGGAAACTTTTAGTTTAGAATAGTTTCTTGTAAAATGTCTCTCAACGTTCGACTTTTACGAGGCTGAAGTCGCTTCTCATTCGCCAGCTTCTTGTTAGAATTTTCCCATTCTACCTTAAATGGTGCCTGAAGCTCCAGAATGTAACTACTGCAACATTTAAGGTGGAACGGGAAAATTCAAACAAGAAGCTGGTGAATGAGAAACTTCAGCTTCATGACTTTTTAGTGTTTGACAGTTTCTCGTTGCAGATTAAACGTATCAGGAAACCAGCTGGAGTGATTATAAACACAAATAAGTCCATTTGTCTCCAAATTATCGATGTTCGTCTTAAATCTCTCTCTTTGTTGTTTCGTTAGCTGTTAGCTAGGCGAGACTGTTGTCTGTGTTGCTATGGTGACCAGCAGTCTGTGCTGATCTAGGTTAAAGGGTGAATCAGCAGTTCTACATTAACTCCAGAGTTTAAGACCATTTACTGTTAAACTGTGTTGAACGATCAGCAGAGCTGTATTTTACTGTAAAGGAGGATTATTTTATTTTTACCTACAAATCTGATTCAGCTGTGGAGCCACAACTGGGCAGTAAAAGAGCCGCATGTTGCTGACCCCTGGTCTAGGGGTTTGAGAAATTATTACTTGCTCTTTACCAAAAAAAGTTAATTAGTCATTTACTGACACTGTTACAGCTTATATCTCCAAACAGGCTGTTCAGGAGAAGAGCTGAAGGAATGTATTTTGGTGTAAGTGTAGTCTTAGTGTGGTATTGGACTGTATAATGGTAATATATTATCACCTGATGTAGTGTCATATCATCAAGATGATGCGTACTGTGTGACCCAAATATAAACCTGCCTTAACAGACCCTCCACCACAAATCCTGCAGTTTCATTTGTAGAGCACTGTGACAGGCGCATGCCTCGTTTGTGCTTCAATAGCCAGGAAACTGTACCAGCAAGACGCGGTTATCAGCCTAGGTAGCAGCTCAGCTCGTCTCTGTGTATCTGGGTGTGTTTGGTCTCTCTGTGCGAGTGTGTTGGTGAGTTTTGGAGTGTTTCACTGAAGTTATTATTTTAACACACTTGCAAAGTGTGTTCGCACCTTTGTTTGCAACCTGTGGGTTGATTAGAACTTGTTTTATTAAAACTCTTAAGACTGTATTTTGAGGATCACAGGGTAAAACACTTAGTATAACTCACACGTTTGCCAATAAAACAGGACTCAGTGTAAAAACCTCGTGTGGAGACTTTTTGAACAGAACAGAGACGTAGAGGCAGACGCTGCTGTAAAGACGCATCAACATGTTTTCTAGGATTTTGAGAAATTATTACAAATAAAGGTAAAATATAGAATAAACGTCATTTACCGACGCTCCGCTGCAAGAGTGCGATTCTGTAATCCTTTATTTGGCAATGCGGGTGTGGTTTTATTGGATTTTACAATATGATATACTCTTTATTGTCACATTTGTCTGTAATTTGTCTTGCATCACTGCAGCTCCATTACACAATCACCCACATACGCAAGAGACAACAAGCAATCACATAACACACCTTACACTCAGATCTAAAAAAAAAAAAGGTACTAAACTGTCTCTGGGGCAGTTCCCCTCTTGTCACTGGGGTGGAACCCTCAAGGGTCCATCTCAGTACCTTTAGTCAGGGAACATAACTGAACCATAATCCACTGAAATGATATGTTCTAAGCTGTACTTTTCACCTGGAAAAACTTATTTAAAGTTCACAATCAGACCTTAAAACCACTGTTGTACCTTTGAGGGAACATTTACACTGTTTGTACCTTGATGAATGAAAAATGTACCTGCTCTTAATCTCATGTACTTTTTCTAGACGTGGTTAAGTCCTGTTTAATAGCAGACTAATAGAGACCAAGTTATTTATATGACACTTTTTTACAACAGGTAGTCACAAAGCAGCTTTACAGAAAAAAATCCAGGTCTGGACAGCAGCAGGAAAAACTCCCTAAAAGCAAAAGGAGGAAACCTTGAGAGCAACCAAGACTCAAAAGTAGAACCCATCCTCCTCTGGTCAACACCGGAGAGCAAACGAGAATAAGATTTTAACATTAATGTGAAACATTAAAACAGAAAAGGGCAAAAAACCATCCTATGATTCAACAGAAGTATTTAGATTAATCAGTGAAAAGCAGCGAATACTGTTAGAGGCCTGTCAGAGTAACAGTGAGACACAGATCTGTGAAAACCAGTCACTGTTACCAGTGAAAACCAGTGACTACAGTTAGCACTGTATTATAGAGAAAACTATGTAAAGCCAGTGTTCCTCAGTCCTGGTCCCTGAGGCCCACTTTCATGCAGAGTTTAGTGTTTTCCTGCTTTAACATGCCCACTTTAACTCAATACTGGGCTGTTGATGAGCTGATTGGTTGGATCAGGTGTATCAGGCGCAGTACACACCCCCACCAGGGCTGAGGAACACTGACTTCAGCCATTTTCTCCAGACAAATAACCCTCAGATTTTCTCACTTTCACTCAAAATAATGACATATGGTGTATATGGTCATAATAGTGTATTTAAATTAACTCTTTGGTGTCTGACTCATCTCACCCAAGCCTTAGCTGAATAATAATCCCAGATAGCAGCCTATAATATCTATGTATAAGCATTATATATATATATATATATATATATATAGCGCGCTTGATAAGGTCGGCACCTGCTGACTGCCACTCACCCAGATTACTGTCCTATGTACAAGGTAAAAGTTGTTTTTAATCTTCTCAAACAGATTTTAAATCTACAGACTTTTATTTTGGAAAATTAACTAAGACAAATATTACAGAGGAAAAAGTGAATGACTAGGCCTGATATAAAATGATTTAGTTGTGTTAGTTATGTTGTTGCCGACATTGTGTTAGGTGTATAACCAGCTTTATTTATGATATTGCTCTTAATGTTTACTAAAGTAATTTACACAGTACAACGAAAAAAGAAAACAAGTAAAAGTAGGTAAATTGGGCTGTGAGCGATCAAAAGTGGTATTCTGTCTAATACTCTGCTTGACCACCAGTGGGCCCAAAAACGCTGAGCAAATAGCCAGTGGGCCGCCAGCTTTGCCGTCAGCGGGTCAACAGCGGCCCAATGCCCCCTTACTATCTGGGTTTCCATTAGAAAAGTGTAAGATTGTTTTCTTATAATGTCTCTATTCTATATCACAGACCTCTTTCAGCAGTGCAGAAGGAGAACCCACGCTTTTCTCACTCATCGCCAGAATTCAGTGAAACGCTGATGTTAATCTCCGCTTCCTCCAGAGGGGCTTCAGGAGAAAGAATCCAGAACTCAGTGATCCTTCATTTATACAGCATTGAGATCTACTTCATTTCTTTGAGACAATTTTAAGAACAAATCCAATCTTAATTTAGGAATTTAGGGTAAGTTTCTCTACAACAGAGCATTTCACACCAACATGTTTAGTTCCTGACTTCTCACTGCACTCCAGCCTTCACATGCATTTGTTCAACTATATCTGATTTAATCTAATAACGTATTGATTAGATAAACCAGGTGCTGGATGGTGTACTCTCAAAAATGGTTCTCCAAGGGATCTCAGTAAAGAAAATGGTTCTACATAGAATCATGAACACTCAAAGAACGCTTTGTATAATTAAGTTCTTTGCATCATTGAATGGTTCTTCAGATTGATGGAGAACGTGTTGTATATGGTTCTACAAATCACCAAAAAGGGCTCTTCTACTGTTACAAGCTTGACATCGAAATAGTAGCAGAACCCTTTTCAAAAAATTCTGTATAGAACCATCTGCAGCATATTCTCCATCAGTCTGAAGAACAGTTTCACCATGCAAAGAACCGTTTAATCATGCAAAGGGCTCCTGGAGTGTTTGTTGTTCTATATGGAACCATTTCCTTTATAAAAGAACTCTTAAAGAATATTTTTTGTGTGTGTAACTGGAAATACTGGACTTCCTCCAGGAGAGGTTTGGAAATCTCATGTTGTTTAACGTAAAGTAAATCATTTACTGCCCAGATAAACGAGGCTTTACAATTCTCAGATAAAGAAAACTCATTATTACATGACATTATTATTATTATTATTATTATTATTATGAGAAATTTTAACATTGTTTGCACTTTTGAAACATTTTTCCAGAATCCACCCAAAGTAGAAGATGTCAAAAACATCATACTTTTGCTTTAAAAACAGTTTAAAAACCTAAAAATAATAAAAATAAACACGCTAATTCAGGGCTTTGGTCTGTAAGGGTTAAACGTCCGCGCTCAGCCGGAAGCCAGCGTGGCGTTGCCATGGCATCGCGCTACGGCTTCCTGGAGACCGGTTGCCGGGGAAACGGTCGCGTCTTCAGCCGGGGCGTTAGCATTAGCCAGCTAGCGTAGCTTCTTAACGGCCCGTATTCGGTATTTTCCGTGTTTTCTCCTTCATCTCCTGTAAACGTCACTGAACGGTTCCGTTTACAGACACTGCGCTCCACAAACGGAACACTGGTCGGTAAGACAGCAGCGCTGCCTGTAAATGTGCTGAAGTTGGCTTTTCACTCGGCAGCTTCTTTTCGAATTCTCCGTTCCACCTTAAATGGTGCAGCTGCACGGTGCAGCGCGGCGACAGAGCAACGGTACTGCCGCACCATTTAAGGTGGAACGGAGAATTCGAAAATAAGCCTCGTAAATTTGACGAGTTAACTAGCTAACTTACTCCGCTACACTCTTAAAAGAAATGGTTCTTCAAGGGTTCTTTAGCAAAGGAAATGGTTCTGTATATAACCAAGAACACTCAAAGAACCTTTCGCATGATTAAAGGGTTCTTTGTATCGTGAAAGAGTTCTTCAGATTGATGGAGAAAAAAAATAAAAATATAAATATATATAGCACCAAAAAGGGTTCTATGTTATTACAGGCTTGACATCGTAATAACAGAAGAACCTTTTTTGGTGCTATACAGAACCATATACAAGACATTCTCCATCAACCTGAAGGACCCTTTTATGCAAAGAACCTTTTAATCATGCAGAGTGTTCTTTGAGTGTACGTGGTTCTATACAGAACCATTTTCTTTACTGAAGAACCCTTGAAGAACCATCATTTTGTAGTTCTCATATGTAATGTTGTGATGTGCAGACTGATTTTAACTCATTAGTTTACTGAATTAACTAACGTTTATCTCTGTTTGTCTTTACTCAGCTCAGGCTAATGCAGTGTTAAACCTCAACGTTTTCAGAACAGCTTTGTCTTTTTCAGTGAAAGAACAAACAGGAGGCATTTTAAAGAGTATAATATGTCATTAACAACAAATGAAACAAAACCCGTAACGGCAGCTGCCACCTTAAAACCCCTACCTATTTTATATCATTTCAAATCAGAAGTTGTCATTTATATTTATGAAATGGACCAAAATAAATAGTCTAAAATTACATGAGGGTTAAATTTCCTTACATTATATAGACTCTCTTAAAATCTCTTTAGTTAGTCCTTTACAGAACCATAAACACTCACAGAACCTATTGCATGCTTTGTTTCTCTGCATGGTGAAATTGTTCTACAGATTCGTAGAGAGTGTCTTGTTTACGGTTCTATACAGCACCAAAAAGGGTTCTGCTATTGTTACAATGTCAAGCTAGTAGCAATAGAAGAACCTTTTTTGGTGCTATATGAAAACCTATTCAAAAATGTTCCATATGTTTCTATATACAACACAGTCTCCATCAACCTGAGAAACAATTTAACCATGCAGAGAACCATTTAAGCATACAAATGGTTCTTTGAGTGTTCATGGTTCTATAAATGAACCATTATCTTTAGTAAAGAACCATTGAAAACCCATCTTTTTAAGAGTGTACTCTACCTGGCTTCTTCAGTCCTGTTGGGAAAGTATCTCAGGTGGCTCCTTAAGAAGATGCTTGAGAAAACGCCAAGATAGTGTGAGGCTGCCTCGAGGCAGATGGGGCTGATTTCAAAAACAATCTAAAATTGAAGAGAGTTTGGATTTGTTTAGTACTTTTATAATCATTGTAGAATTTCAGTGTTATTTAACAGTCATGATGGCTTCACTATTAAGGCTGTTACACACTGAACACAAAGTGAAAACAGAAAAAATGGGAAATATTCAGATTTTTTTTTGCATCAGAATTATACAGACTGGGAGCATTGTTTTTAATTTCACCAAATTGTTTACACTGCAAAGAAAAAAATACACAGCAAACTGTGGAATGTGCAAGTGTGGAATTGTGCAAGTCACTAATAGACTGAAGGGAGAACAGAGAGCTTCTACATACTTAAAAAAGATGGTTCTTCAATGTTTTGGTAAAGAAAATGGTTCTATATAGAACTATAAACACTCAGAGTTCTTTCCATCATGAAATGGTTCTTCAGACTGATGGAGAATGTGCTGTAGATGGTTCTGATGGTCTTTTTGAAAAGGGTTCTATATAGCACCAAAAAGGGTTCTTCTATTGTTACACGCTTGACATTGTAAGAATAGAAGAACCCTTTTTTGTTGCTACATAGAACCTACTACAACACATTCTCCATCGATCTGAAGAACCATTTTATGATGCAAAGAACGCTTTAATCATGCAAGGTTTTCATAGTTCTATATAGAACCATTTTCTTTACTCAAGAACCCTTGAAGAACCATCGTTTTTAAGAGTGTCTGCCTCATTCAGGAGCTGAATCTTTATGATCTTTCACTTGCAGCTCGGATCTCTGTAACTCGGTCTAAGCTGATTTTGGAGATGCAGCTCCAAAGCACAAAACCGGCAGGCAGAATGTGCTCAGGTGTAAATATGATATGATTGCTCCTCACAGACACTGGGCTGCTTTCCATTTCAGAAAAGTGAAAGTAGCGTGAAGGTCTGCATCACTTCATTGTAACGACCTCATAGGTCTAGGGGATTTTAAAAAAGGTCGCACATACAAAAAGCCAAACGCCAACCCAACCACCAGATCAAGACACCATGAACCCAGATAAGATGGCAATCAGACTTGAATTGCCATTGTCTAGATATAGTAAGATATAATAAAGGAGGTGAATAACTTCAGGGCAGAGCTAACGCCCAAAACCAGCCAGAAACAATCAAACTAACTTATCCAGGATGAAAAGAAAGATACAAACAACTATCCAGTCTCCCTGAACCAAACCAGGAGAAAACAGTAGCAAACAAAGCAGGGCACTCACCCCCGACTTTAGAGAACAAGAGGTACATCGTTCATTACAGGAAACATCAAGGCTCATTAAGACAGCTGGTGGATCATTCTCAGCACTGCAGTAACACTGGCGTGGTGGTGGTGTGTTAGTGTGTGTTGCGCTGGTACGAGTGGATCAGACACAGCAGTGCTGCTGGAGTTTTTAAACACTGTGTCCACTCACTGTCCACTCTATTAGACACTCCTACCTTGTCAGTCCACCTTGTAGATGTGAGGTCAGAGACGATAGCTCATCTGCTGCTGCACAGTTTGTGTTGGTCATCCTCTAGTCTTCATCAGTGGTCACAGGACGCTGCCCACAGGACGCTGTTGGCTGGATATTTTTTGTTGGTGGACTATTCTCAGTCCAGCAGTGACACTGAGGTGTTTAAAAACTCCAGCAGCACTGCTGTGTCTGATCCACTCAGACCAGCACAACACACACTAACACACCACCACCACGTCAGTGTTACTGCAGTGCTGAGAATGATCCACCACCCAAATAGTACCTGCTCTGTGAGGGTCCATGGGGGTCCTGACCACTGAAGAACAGGGTAAAAGGGGGCTAACAAAGTATGCAGAGAAACAGATGGACTACAGTCTGTAACTGTAGAACTACAAAGTGCACCTATACAGTAAGTGGAGCTGATAAAATGGACAATGAGTGTAGAAACAAGGAGGTGGTCAGAATGTTATGCCTGATCGGTGTATAATCTCCTCAGAAACATCTCCATTAAAAAATTAATAACTTGCTCTTAACATCCATTTAGACTGTGTTTTTTTCTTTCTCCTGCTGTGACGTTTCATTCTGACAGTGAAGATTCGCTGTCAGCCACCATTAAAGTACGTTTAAGGAAGAGAAAGTTTTCCTGCGCAGTAGACCTGATTTCCGAATCCTCCCGAGCTCCAGGAACGCTTTACATTTTCAGATTAAAGGCTGATGTCATTGTCAGAGTCACCTGCTGCTCTCTGATCTTGCAGGGATGGAGGGAGACGATGACAGGATGAAGGAGCACCTGAGGCTTCAGCTCCAAAGCCTGCAGGAGCAGCAGACGCAGCGGCTCCAGAGGAGGCTGGAGAAGAAGAGGCAGGCTGCGTTTGAGCCGCACAGAGACGAGGCAGCCTTTGATGGCCAGGATGGCCTGAACCTCTCTGTGGACGACGGAGACTTAGTGGAGCAGTTCAGTGCGAGGTGACAGCTGATGAAAGGCTTTATCATTTGCAAACCTGTTTGTGGCAGCATTCATAACATGTCCGTCACAAAATAGAACAGAACCTCTGCGCACAGTATTTTCTGAAGGGCTTAAAGGGGAATTCCACCAGTATTTCTAGATTTCTGCATATCTAAATAGTTAAAATGTAAACAGAGTCATTCAGAATGGTTTGGTGTGAAATACTAGGAACCAGACATGTGAAGAGTTTAAAGGCCCATTATCCTACACTCTTAAAAAAGATGGTTCTTCAAGGGTTCTTTAGTAAAGAAAATGGTTCTATATAGAAACGTGAATACTCAGACAACCCTTTGCATGATTAAATGATTCTTTACATTATGAAAGGTTCTTTAGATTGATGGAGAATGTGTTATGTGAGGATTTATATTGTTCTGTATAGAAGAACCCTTTTTGGTGCTATGTAGATCCCTTTTCAAAAGGGTTCTATACAGATCTACAGCACATTCCCCATCAATCTGAAGAACCCTTTCATGATGCAAAGAACCCTTTTATTATGTAAAGGGTTCTCTGAGTGTTTGTGGTTCTATACAGGACCATTTTCCTTACTAAAGAACCCTTGAAGAACCATGTTTTAAAAGAATGTACCATTTTTTTATTGTATTTTATTTCTTGTGTGACATATCTGCCCAGGAGGATAAGCGGTTTAGAAAATGTTAACCATATGTGGTTTCATTTTTCATTTCGATTTTACATTTTTTCTTTTTTTATGAGTACTTCCAAACTGTTATGTGTAAATGAGCTCTGTTCTGATTGGCTGCCTTGTATTATCCCTCAAGGGTGGGGCTAAAGATGCTGTAGGCCATATAGGTGGATGTATGGTTGTTGTGACATCACAAAAAAGCAGTAAATTCAATTCGAGCTGTTTTTGGGAGATAACTTTCCCTATATGGGCTGTATGGACTGGAATGGTATGTTTTGCAATGTTTACAGACTACATCAAACTATTTCATTTCATAAAAATTAAGAACAATATGTTTTTCCATGATCTGGACCCTTTAATGCCTCTTAAAGCTCAGTCACATAAAGTTGAATAAACATGAAATAGTAAATAAAATGTCTTTATTTGTGTTGTAGTCATGGCGACCCCTGGTTCCTATCACCACTACTACACAGAAATCTGAACAATTTCACACCAAACCACTCTGAATCGCTCTGTTTACATCTCAACTACTTAATTATTCAGAAATTTTGGAAAATCTGTGGAATTCCCTTTGTAAACCGTCGGCCGTTCAGTGCTGAAAGCAAACTCTTTGAGCTTTGCGACATAAAGCATTAGCCGCCAGTGTGTCTATATACAGTCTTGTTATTTTAGAGCTTTATGAATACGTTTGTCTGCTGTCTCCTCCAGACTGCTGCAGAATGAGAATGAGCAGCTACTCGAGCAGTTGAGGGAGTTCAGGGACGAGAACGGCAGGCTTCATAAGCTTCTAAGTGAGAAAGAGTTTGAGATCAAACATCTGAAGAAGAAGAGAGAGGAGGACAGACTGGCATTAGTGGGTGAGTAGCACAGGATGGCCATCGTTTTCATCATCTATCATCTCTTCATCTGCCGCTATGACATATGGTGTTCCACAAGGGTCCATTTTAGGGCCTACTCTTTTTCTATACATATGCTACCCCTAGGACAAGCTATACATAAGCATACCTTTTACATTTCATTGTTATGCAGATTATTTACAGCTGTACCTTCCCATTTGGTGATCAGTGTTCTGGAAAAGACTTTTCAAAGTGAAATGCCTTCATACAAGGCATTAAACACAACACAGCCTCTGTAGTTTCTGCCTTCTCTGCGCTGGTGCCACACTAGCCTTAAAATGTTCAACCCCATTTCCAAAAAAGTTGAGACGCTGCGCAAAATGTAAATAAAACCAAAATGCAATAATGTGCAAATCATTTAAACCCTATATTTGATTGAAAATAGTACAAAGACAACATATCAAATGTTGAAACTGAGAAATTTTATTGTTTTTTGAAAAATATGTGCCCATTTTAAATTTGATTGCAACAACACGTTCCAAAAAAATTGGGACTGGGGCAAGAACCTGGTAAAGTTAGGCTAAAAAAACACCTAAAAAACATAAAACAAATTCTCGGTTTCAACATTTGATTTGTTGTCTTTGTACTATTTTCAATGAAATATAGGGTTTAAATGATTTGCACATCATTGCATTTTGTTTTTATTCACCTTTTCCAAAGCGTCCCAACTTTTTTGGAAATGGGGTTTCCCCCATTTTGAAAAGGGTAAGAGTGCCAAAAGTGCTGTGTCCTGATTGGATGATGATCTGATCATCTTGTTCGGAACATAGTGATCAGATGTTGATGCTAAGAGCCCAAGATGTTTGAGTGGTGTTTCTAAATTCTAGGCTTTTTAATGACTGTTTAATGATATGATTTGACTGATTTGATCTCAATCTGCTCTGTTTAAGGCACGGCAGGCCTGGCGGGAGACGCGGCGGCCACCAAGATCGTGGAGCTGTCGAAAAAGAATCGTGAACTGGCTGCTGAAATCGAACGGGAGAAAACCAAAACAAAACAAATGAGCAACAGAGTAAAAGAACTAGAAAAAGAGGTAAACAAAACTTTCTTACTTTTGGATTTACTTTGAGACCAAGCGGTATAACATAGAAGTCAACCTCATAAATGTAAAAAGCCTGGAGTGCCTATAAATCCTTCAGAGTGTGAGGCATTAATGCTGTCTCTGTCTCCTTAGCTTCAGGGCACTTCTTTCCTCAGTTCTGGACTGAAGGCTGGTCAGACACAGGAACCGAGGAACTCTGAGGAGGAGGTACTACACTGTTGCGCAGCAAAGAGTCACTTTCCATCTTTATGTCATCTACCTTCAAACGTTTTAAAGTAACTGGGTCACTCTACAGAAACGTCCATTTTTGTGTCCCTAGTGTTCACAGGTATATTACACTTAAAAAACATGTTAGGGTTACAATTTATTTATATTTAAAATAAAATAGTACGTTTTTTTTTTAACAATCACACCTTCTTGAGCCTCAATTTAGCAATATTGGTTTTTAAATGAATTATCTAGAATTCTAAGCACCACAGAAGAACTCGTCCTCACAGTCATGTGTGAAGGCTGAGGCCATATTTTGAAGTAAACAAATGTTTTTCTGCTATTTAACTACAATAATCTATACATGACTATGAAATATATGATTTAAATGACAAAGAAAACAAATGCCAAATAAATATAAAATATATAATGAAAGTTGTCCCCAGGAGTTGTGTCACTGGTGTAACCGCGTGACAAAAAAATCTCTTATTTTGGAAAAAAAAAAATCACACTGATGACATCAGTTGACTTCCTTTTACCAGTTTTCTGAGGATCTATGAAGAAAAGCTCATGGTGAGTCCACTGTGTCTTTCAGTTATCAGAGATTTTCTCATTTAGCTCATGATTTCATATGAAGCTTTTAGCTGAAGTCACTGGTGTGACCGACTTTATTCTGAGGTAACTGTGAAAAAATAGAATACAAATGGATTAAATTCCATATTTTAGTGGATATTCCATGATTGACATCATGTGGTTTGATGTTCTGTAGCAGACATTTTGTGAAATGCATTGTTCATTAAAAATGTCTCTGGTGTTTCCTTTATTATGTGTAACACTACTGAGGATGAGTAACACCAGTGACACCTATGGACAGATAGAAAAGTGGACGTTTCTATAGAATGACCCAACTATTCAGCTAAAGATCTGAATTAAAAACGGACAAAAGTCTGTCGCAGAGATAAAATCAGAAGAAGCAGATGTTGAATTCTGTCTGTAATTTAGTCCATGTTTACAGATAACAGTGTGTTTGATGGTTTAGACATGCAGTTAGCATCATGAAATCAGCACAACACAAAACTTTTCACACTGTTAGCTATGTTGAACAGACAATCGTTGTTTTTCTATCTGTAAGCCGGCCAGTCCGCTGGTGAAGTCCCTCCAGGAGAAGTTATCCACCGCCCAGTTCAAAATGAGCGAATACCGCAACCAGATACAAGCTGTCAAACAGGAGCTGAAGATAGCCCACAAGGTCAGCACTCATTCATCAGCTGCCCTTTCATCTCTAATGAATAATGCTAACAGCTATTTACAGCTAATGCACACGTTTTTCACACCAGTAGTTCGCCAGCTGTTTCTTTGCTATGAGCTCTGGATTGAAATTAAGCGATGTGTTCCTAAATGTGATGGGTGCTCAGGTAGGTTTAAACTGTGTGCTACGGTGCATAAAGTCAAGTTTATTTATAGAGCACATGTAAAACAATTCATGTTGACCAAAGTGTTATAGAACATGTTAAAATTGAATTGGAGAATAAAAGTCCATTCATTGAAATGACAGGAAACTAAAACAACAAAACCTATTACAGTACAGCTAAATAATCACGTAAAACACAAAGAGGAACTAACACACAGTAAAATATCTAAAGAAGTTCTAAAAGAAAATGGAACGAAAGAAACTACTATGGATAATTTAGTATCTCCTATGAATTATTTAGTATCTATAAGGTATTCAGTATCTATTATGAATTATTAAGTATTGTATATGAATTATTCAGTAACTACTATGAATAATTCAGTGTCTACTAAGAATAATTCAATAACTACTATGAATTATTTAGTAACTACTACAAAAAATTCTGTATCTACTGTGAATATTCAGTAACTATTATAAATTAGTCTGTATCTATTTTGAATTGTTCATTGTCTATTATGAATTATTCAGTATCTACTATGAATAATTCAGTAACTGCTGTAGATTATTGTAGTATCTGTAGATGATTTAGTATCTAATATGAATTATTCAGTGTCTGTTATGAATTCTTCGGTAAAGGCTTGCAGGTACAGTGTGTGCTGGCTGTGTGTGTAGGTTCTGAGCAGTGAGGTTGGGGAGGATGTGAGTGTCCAGCAGCTGCTGAGTAATCCGGGGAGCTGGAGAGGACGAGCTCAGCAGATTCTGGCCCTCAGCAGCAGAGTGAGTCTGACCAACCCACACACAGGACCGCAGAATGAGTGATTAATTGTTTTTATTAGAAATGCACCATTTCGGTCTCTGAAAATGGTCACAAAAATCTAATTTGAAATTTTCAAATATCCTAAAATATTCATATTTGAAATCCATCCTTTTTAAAAATCATGACATTATTTTGCAAAGAAAATAAGTGGAATGCATGATAGCAGCTCCAAATTTTCGTGTCAGTTTTATGTCTCCTAAATCCACAAGAAGGCATAAGTTATCACAGTTTTGAGAAAAACTTCAGTTTTCGAAACAGAGGCTGAAGATTTTGACCAAAAAAAAGAGAGGAGACATTTAAAGAGCCCATTTCATAGATAAACGTTTAAAATTTTCTTTTTTGAAATTTGATACTGAGTTTGGTACAATTTATAAACATTGCTAAAGTTTCAAAACATAACATTCATTCTCCAGTCCATACAGTCCATATGCTGCCAAAGCAGCCCATTTTTGATTCAGCGTTTCATTAAAACAAACACATTCACATATAACCACTTTTTCAGCTTACAGCATTTTAGTCCCTCGCACTCACTGAAGGACTGTTTCAGCCTGGATTGCTCAATATAGGACGACCAATCAGAACAGAGCTAATTTGCTAACCATAAACAGTCATGATACAAAAGTGACCAGAATTATATCAGATAAATATACAGCGATCAGGCATAACATTATGTTTAACAATCTACACTCACTGTCCATTTTATCAGCTCCACTTACTATATAGGTGCACTTTGTAGTTCTACAGTTACAGACTGTAGTCCATCTGTTTCTCTGCATACTTTGTTAGCCCCCTTTTACCCTGTTCTTCAGTGGTCAGGACCCCCATGGACCCTCACAGAGCAGGTACTATTTGAGTGGTGGATCATTCTCAGCACTGCAGTAACACTGACGTGGTGGTGGTGTGTTAGTGTGCGTTGTGCTGGTCTGAGTGGATCAGACACAGCAGTGCTGCTGGAGTTTGTGTTCCACAAGTTTGTACCACAAGTTTGCATTCATCTGCTCTTCCAGCGTTTCTTCTGAAATGAAAGTGTTAATAGTGAGTTTGTGCTGCAGTAACAGCCTCTACTCTTCTGGGAAGGCTTTACACTAGATGTACTGATGTTGGATAATCAGTTCTGGATCACTCCAACTCATTCCAAAGGTATTGGATGGAGCGCCGTCACTCCAGAGAACACAGTTCCACTGCTCCACAGCCCAATGCTGGGGGCCTTTATACCCCTCTAGCCTACACTCGACATGGTGCACGGTGACCTTAGGCTCATGTGGAGCTGCTCTAGAGAGTCTATTGTCTGGGCTGTTCTATGGATATCATACAGCTGTTAGTGCATAAATGAACATCTGTGTCAGCAGTTGGTGCCTTAAAGTAGCTAAATTCACTCATTAGACTGGCTGTCTGGATACTTTTGGACAGATAGTGGAGTTAAGCAACACTTTTGAATATACAGGCGCACGCTGTTTACTATTAAGCAAGCACCCAGTCACTGACACTGTAAGGTAACCTGACCAAACTGAGTAAAGTCCTATTGTAAAGGCATTTACAGTTTTATTTGATATACACATCAAGATAATCTGTCTTACTGCTCATGGTAATATGATCAGCGCAGTCATACTGGCGTGTCCATGAATCACTCAGACCTTTTATTTCATAAGTACCAAGAAACATGACTCAGTCAGACGTGTATAACTTTATTAGAAGCAAAGTTCATTCTGTGAGTTTACTTAGAGGGAGAGTCGGAGCTGATTAGAGAGGGTGAGGATGATGGTGATGAAGATGGTGAAATGTTTTATTTCTATAGGTGCGAGATTTGGAACAGCAGCTGAGCTCCGCCTCCATCAGGAAGCAGTCTGGGGATGTCAGCCTGGAGGACAGCATGCTGGGAAATGGAGTCCACCAGAGGAACCAGGACAAGAACCACAGCTACATCCGCTCCATGGAGAGAGACAGGAAGGAGACAGTAGAGGTACAAACCATATTTTGGGCCATCAGAAGTTTGAGGACAAACTTTCCCAGTAATATTTTCACGATTACACAACCATTTATAAGTTTAGAATCAATGAGTGTGTTTACATGCACTTAATAATCTGATCATAATCTGATTTCTAAAGTTGTCTGATTACTCAAGTGGTCGTGTAAACATCACATTCTGATTTCTTAGATTGGATTTAAGGCCAAGAAATCTGATAAAGAGGCTGGATTTGAGCTCAGTAATGGGGTTTTTCAGTGCATGGAGACTCTCACTCTGATTAATTTTGTTTCTCTCAGTCTGAGCATGTGTGAAAACAGAGCGCTGTCCCAAAAACAGCGAGCAGAATGTAACACAGCACCCGCACAGCACTTTTGGAGCGACACTGAAACCGACTACATGCTCGACGAGATGAAGGATTTAAATATTCTTCATCTTCTAGAAGATGTATATTTATATTTTCCACTAAAGTGACTCAATGAAAAAAGCAGCTCATGACGTTTAAATGATACGTTATGTTTATGTCACGTCTTATTCTGTGAGTTTATTGGCTGGATGTAAAGCAGAAATCTGATTACTGTCTGACTCATGTAGACCTGGAGTTTCCCTATTATCTGATTACTCAAGTGCATGTAAACACACTGAACCAGTTACTGACACAATCTGATTTTCTGCAGTTATCAGATTAAGTGTAAACGCACTGAACCAGTTATTCACACAATGTGATTTTCTGCAGTTATCGGATTATTAAGAGCATGAAAACACACTGAACCGGTTACTGACACAATCTGATTTTCTGCTGTTATCAGATTATTAAGTGTAAACACTCTGAACCAGTTACTGACACAATCTGATTTTCTGCAGTTATCAGATTAAGTGTAAACACATGGAACCGGTTACTGACACAATCGGATTTTCTGCAGTTATTGGATTATTAAGTGAAAACACACTGAACCGGTTACTGACACAATCTGATTTTCTGCAGTTATCAGATTATTAAGAGCATGTAAACACACTCAGTGTTTATGAATAGAAAAAAAACTAGTTTCAGATACATATATAAAATGAATTCAGTATGTTAATCATGTGTAATTGTATTACTTATTAAGTGAATAATAATAAATAGAATATATAAATAATATGTTTATATAGCACCTTTCTGAAACACAAGGACAACAATAAACAAAACAACCCACAACACACACACATTCACACAGTTCCCACAGGCCTTTGGCTCTATTCCCAAGGCCTTTTGGCAAGTTTGCAGTTTTTACAAAGAAAATTTGCACAATCAACAGTTTTCTATTTAGTATGTATGTTGATAACACAAACAGAGAAAGAAAAAACATGTTCATTCATATTAAAATCGTCCTGAAAAGACTGATGTCCCCAAAACATAGAATAAGCAATGTGTTAAGATCACAAAAACACATCCCACAATGAATGCATTCAATTCTGACTGACTGAGAGGATGAATTCATTCAGGGATATGCGGCTCCTGACTGCTTTATGAACTATCTTCATCTTCCTGAGCTGATGTTATTTCCAAACCCTGCAGTATGAAAAATGGCTCACCTCTGTAAAGGTACCTCATTTTTCATTGGAAACCACATAATACAAACATTTGCACTGAGAGCTATTTTTATGGGCGATTTTTCATGCCATATTCATTTATTTATTATGTGGCAGAGATGCATAAATAGATATCTCTATGTTAGATTTAGCCTGTTTCTCTGCGGTTCTTGCAGAAGCTGAGTGCAGATTACGAGCTCCTGCTGAGCGAACACTCGGACGTGAAGAAGAAGCTGGAGGCCAGCAAGGCCAGAAACCGCGTCCTGAGCGCCGAGCTGAAAGCCCTGAAGACTCAGATCACCACGCTGCTGGACAAGGGAAAACACGACGACGAGCTGGTGGACGCATTACTGGTGAGAGTCCAGTCAGAGCTAGAGCTGCAACTGAGGACCATCTTTATCTGTCTTGTGACAGAAAAATGAATCTACATCTCCAAGTGCGGTAAAGCCGGAGAAGATGAGACACTTGTCCCCCCAGATTGTAGCTTATGTTGTCACTTTAAAATCAGCGATTGGACATCTGAGATAAACAAACAGTTTACTAAATAATTCCACTGATTTTTTCAAGATTACTTACCGACTCAGATGTGTTCACAGTGGTGGTGATAGGAACCAGGGGTCGCCATGACTACAACACAAATATAGACATTTTATTTACTAATAAAACCACCAGTGAACCTACACGAGTCTTCTGAGTTTATATGGAATGTTGATGATGGAAAATAGTGGAAAGTCTGAAATAATACGTTAATAACACAGTTTTAAATCCATGTTTTAGTCCAAAACCTTCTGAAAATTATCATAAAACAATGTCCCAAACAATGCATATGAAGAAAATATACATATGAACTTAATTCATTAAATATTTCAATCAATCAATCAACCCTTATTTGACCTCGGAGAACGTTGAGGATGACCCTCATTTACAGTGTTGCCGAGTTACAGGAAAAAAGGATGTATAATGTGTTAAGAACGTATCAAATAATAAAAATAAATTTAGTAATAAAATTATTTAAATCAGATAAGTATAAAAATTTAAACATTAACAATAAAAATATGTAAAACCCAGTGGAAATATTAAACAATAATTAAAGTGTAACTAAAATGTAAAAGTTAATAAAATCAAAAGAAGATAAATAAAACAAAAGGAGGATAAGATCAAAAAAGGAAACTAAAATGAATTAAGATGACAAATAATACTAAAATCATAGTTAAATCATAATAAGAAGATGAATAATAATAAATAAACAAATAAATACATGGGAATTAACTAAAATAATGAAAATAAACAACTATTAGACAATAATGGTGTAAATACGAAGACCAGCTGCAAACATATATTACAGAAATATCTACAGCTTTAGATGTGATTCAGTTGCAAAGGTAAACAGATGAATAAATAAATACATAAGTAAACAAATAAACACAGTCAGTCAATCTGCCAGAATCTTAGTCCAACAGAAACGCTACACTCTTAAAAATAAAGGTGCAATGCCACAGAAGACCCACTTTTGGTCTCCTAAAAACCTAATGGATGGTGCTTTTAAGAACCAGTTTTGTATATGAGATGTGAGTGTGTAGAACCTTTTTAAGTTTCAAAAACTCCACATAATGTAAAGTTTCTGGAAGAAATCTTAAATTTCTATAGAACCTTTAAATTAGTAAAGGTTCTTGAAATCTTTAAGAGGTTCTTCACACTCATATTGCTTTTTTTCAAACATGGCTTTCAGTCATCTTTCGATTTTTGGAAATATAGTGTGAGAGTGTGAAGAACCTTAAAGTTTAAAGAACCTCAACGTAAAGTTAAGGTTCTCAAAATAGCTTAAACTGGTATAGAACCTTTAAATCTTAGAAAAAATCTTCAAACCCACACATTTTTTTTTCCAAATATAGTTCTTCAGGGACCAAACGTGTTCTTCTGCGGTGTCTCTCAAAGAACCCTTTCTGCCATCTGTTTTTTTACAGTGTCCGACGGATTTGTGGGTTTAGAGTGGAGAGCAGCAGCTCCACAACATGATGGATTGAGTTAATAGTTCTTTTACCAAATATCTCACTGTGCATGTGTGGGCCTGTAATTGATTATGGCATATTAATTAAATGTTTACGTTCATTAATGAGTTTATTTGACCTAAGCAGAAGGATGTAAATGTATGGAGTCGGATGTGAGACACACTAATGCCTTTAAAAAGGCACTGATGTGTCCCAATGCAGACAGGATGTGCTTCAGTGAGCCAAACAAGCTGTGGTGCAGTGTTCCTGATTAAACAGGAGAGGACATTCATTAAAGCTGAGCGGGATCACCTCACACAGCTAACCTGTGTCCCCTCCACCGCTGTCCCACAGAAGCAGCAGGCTCAGCTGCAGGCCATGCTGGGCCAGCTCAGCCAGAAGGAGAAGCTGCACCAGGAGGCCCAGCAGGGCCTGGGCACGCAGCTGCACTCGGAGGCCCAGCGCCACAGCTCCCTCGTCCAGCAGCTCAAGCAGATGGTGTCGGAGAGGGAGGCCAAGGTCCAGCAACTGGAGCAGGAGATCCAGCAGCTCGCCCTCAAGGTAAGAGAAACTTCACACTTACCATGACACACTTAGGCTGGCTTTGCATGGTGAAACTTCCATGCAACTTTAGTTGCTTGACACCTACATGAAACTGGATTGCACTTCAGTTGCATAATGCAAAGTGTTCTTCAGATCAACTCAGCTGCAAGCGTTAGAACAAGCTTTGTGAAAAAAGCCAATAAAATGGCACACATAGTGCATCACAAAGGACTGACTCACATTTGACAGGTTTATGTTTTGTCAGTTTCCTGACAACATGACAACAAATGTGAGTTTGTTCTCATTACAGTTTCTATCCAGTTGAGGTAATCCTGCAAATAATCCATGAAATAGGAAAATAATATCCGTGTAAACGCCTGTATCTGATTACATTCCCTATCGGAAAGCTTAAGTCCGTTCTGATCATGTTCGTCATGTCGTAGTGAAAGTTTATAACATTCAACATGGCGGAGCAGAAACTGGTCTGCAGAGGAGACGAAGTTTATGCTCTGATCTCTGATCTTTAAACGTCCAGCTTATGTGTCTCAGAACACGACGTCCTCCTCTCGGCCTTCTTTAATAAGGACATGTGAAGGACGTTTTCCTGAGTCTGACATCATTTTAAAGTCATTAAAAACACAAGCACTGCTCACTGCTGCTCGTCTCACTCTGACTGGACTCACGTGATGCTTGCTGTCATGGTAACGCTCACACTAAGTGGTTCTCTACGTATGTGCATGATTTTAGATCTGATTACTTGTAGTGAGCATGTAAACAGAGATTTTCCATCAGAGTGTTGAGTGGAGTGAGAATAAACACCTCAGTCTTACTCTATAATCGGAATGTGTTCAATCAGATTGGAGAAAATCTTTGCATGTAATCACAGCCATTGTAAACAAACTCATTCACAGTGGTTGATGAACAGATTTTAGAGCTACGTTTTAAGCCAAAACCTTCTCAAAGCTATCATAAAACAATGGCTCAGGCTTTGTGTGAGGGAGCTTTTAGAGGTGGACGTCTGGTTCCTATCACCACCACTGTGAACAGTTCTGACTCGGTAAGTTTCTCTAGAACGTTGTTTCACAACAAACCACTCTGAAGGAGTCTGTTTACATCATTTGTTTATATCATTCTCCCTTTAGCAATTTGTCATAAAGACTTGCTTCTGCAGTTTCTGACATCGTATGACATGCTCTTATCAACACTGTCAGAAAAATGGTGCTGCGCAGGTACGTTTTTCATTCATCAGGGTACAAACAATGTCAGTGTTTTCCTCAGGGGAAAGGTACCTATTTATTCATTTTCATAACCTAATGTTTTAAAGCAGAACAGTTATAAAAAGACTAGAGCGCAGACAGGACATGTTGAGTCAATACAACTTAAAAAAAAATAGAATTTCAATGGAACATGAAGCAGTTATGTTCCTTAACTAAAGGTTCTGAAGACGTACGCTTGAGAGTACCACCCCAGTGGCAAGCTGGTACCACCCCAGTGACAGTTTAGCACCTTTTTTTCTGAGAATGTATTGAAATAGATCATTTATGCAACACAGGCATTACAGTTCTGCAAAATAAGTTTGATAGATGCAAAGCTAAAAGGCAAAGTTGACAAGTCAGTTATTTAGATATTTAGATACCTCACCTCAGTTTAGTTCTTTGTTCTAGCTGGGAGGTAAAGGAACTTGCCTCTGATGTCTGTTTTATGTTGAATAAAGATGAAGTACGACTTGTGAGGTGCATTAACATCCTGTGCAGTAGCTGATAACCAATTTTTGCAAATCATTTTTGGGGAAAAAACAACACCTTTACCTTTTTTTCACACTCTTAACCTGAGCAACATTTAGTAATGAGGGTATGTGACATTATCAGTGCCCATAGCAGTGCTGCTCTCACCTGGAAGAGGAACTGAATCTTTGATTTTCCATGTGCAGAGTGATGGTGTTATCCACTATGCTAACCAACTTTAGCATATTCATCTTCATGTTTGTCACGCCCAGTTATGCTGCACTCAACAGACATTTTTAACAGAATTATATCTTTAATAAAGATATATAAAGGGTAACACTTTACTGTAGAGCACTACAGTGTGATGGCAGGCGTCATCTGTCGTAAAGGCTACTTTAGCCAGCTATGCTTGTAGTGACCTGCTGTAACTTCTGTGACCAAAATTGGCAAATGTAAGCTTTATAGTGACTGATGCCTATCAGAATAAGCTTTTAACAACGTGCGTGATACGTGGAGAGACTCTGCAGGACATGTGTAGTCTAACAATATGAAGAATATCAGCTCACTGCCAACTGCAGACAAACTGTGGCCTTACTACAGAACAAGCATAGTCTGACAGGTGTAGTCTAGCTGTAGGACAGATGTCGCCTCACTGCAGGACAGGTGGAGTCTTACTGCAGGACTGGTGTCGTCTCACTGCCGGACAGGTGTAGTCTCACTGCAGGACATGTGTAGTCTCACTGCAGGACAGGTGGAGTCACTGCAGGACAGGCGCAGTCTCACTGCAGGACAGGTGTTGCTTCACTGTAGGACAGGTGTAGTTTTACTGCAGGACAGGTGTAATCTCCCTGCAGGACAGGTGGAGTCACTGCAGTACAGGTGTAGTCTCACTGCAGGACAGGTGTAATCTCCCTGCAGGGCAGTTGGAGTCAGTGCAGGACAGGTGTAGTCTTACCGCAGGATAGGTGGAGTCTCACTGCTGGACAGATTACAATTTATGTAGTTATGTAGCTATATAGTTTTGTCATGATATGCTTATGTAGCCTTATGAGCAGTACCCTACATTAAAGTGTTATTACTGGGCAAAGTTATCATGACCACAGTTTGAGGTGAGACCTTCACTACACTGTTACCTCCATTCACTAGCTAGGCCCTCCCCATCACAACCAAGCTGGGCAGATGAAGGCTAACACATGCTTCTTCCAGTATTACATATCATATACATCTGCCACTATAGAAACAGGAGAGCGGGGAGACAGAGTCGAAGAGCATGAGTAGCTCCATCCCTCCAACAGTGAAGGAAGACGCAGGAAGGAAGTCCAGTTCTGCCAGGTATTACATCCTCACTATAGCGAGCCATTGCTTTTCATTCATTTTAGATTAATTCTACCTCACTGCATAAAAAACAGACATGATTCTGTAGTGGAAATCACTGCATGGGCTCAGAAACACTTCTGAAAACCGCTGTCTGTGAAAACAGTTCGTCACTGCATCCACAAATGCAAGTTAAAACTCTAAAACGCAAAGAAGAAACCATATATAAACAGGGTCCAGAAACGCTGCCACCTTCTCTGGGTCCGAGCTCATTTAAAATGGACTAAGGGGAAATGGAAAAATGTCCTGTGGTCAGATGAATGAATATTTCAGTTTTTTTTTGGAAATCATGGACACTGTGTCCTCCAGGCTAAAGACCACTCAGCTTGTTATCAGTGCACAGTTCAAAAGCCAGTATTCATGATGGTATAGGGGGGCATTAGTGCACATGGCATGGATGACATGCACATCTGTGAAGGCACCATTAATGCTGAATGAAATATACATGTTTTGGCAACATATGCTGCCATCCAGACGACGTCTTTTTCAGGGAAGGCCTTGATTATTTCAGCAAGACAATGTCAAACCACATTCTGCATGCATTACAACAGCATTGCTCGGTATTAAAAGAGTCTGGGGGCTAAACTGACCTGTCTGCAGTCCAGATCTGTCACCCACTGATAACATTTGGCACATTATGAATGAAAAATATGACAAATGTTGAGCGGCTGAAATCCTTCATCAAACAAGAACGAAAAACATTTCACTATCAAAATTACAGCAGTGTCTCCTCAGTTCCCAAAGACTTACAGAGTGTTGTTAAAAGAAGAGGTGATGAAACACAGTGGTAAACAGGCCCCCCGTCCCAGCTTTTTTGGAATGTGTTGTTGGCATCAAATTCAAAATGGGTAAATATTTTTAAAAAACAAAAAACAATTAAAAAAAAATAAAAAACAATTTCTCAGTTTCAACATTTGACTTGTTGTCTTTGTAGTATTTCCAATCAAATATATGCTTTAAATGATTTGCACATCATTGCATTTTGTTTTTATTTACATTTTGCACAGCGTCCCAACTTTTTTGGAAATAGGCATGTAGATTACTAAACAACAGTCAGGTGTGTAGTTATCTAACTAAAACTGAGGTGAGAGTGACCTCTGCAGGCGGGGAGGTGGATCCCTGGGCGAGGATGTGACACTTGTTACCACATAAAGTAAATTGTTTAGGTTGAATTCACTAAACAGTAAATTTCTTCATCTGACTGAGGTTCTTGTGCTTTTTTAGGTCGCTCTCAAAACTGGGATATAAACTTGTTGAGTCTGCTCCACCGCTGTCGTCTGGAAACAGCTCTGATTTCAGGTCAGTTGCAGACACAATAGTGTTTGGAGTGACCTGCTGTAACTTTTGTTGTCCATCGCAATGGGCTTTTTATCCCTAGTGACTTCACTAATCTACATGCTAAAAAAGTATCGCCAGGGCTTTTTTGAGTAAAGTCATATGAGAACCACTTTGGATTCCCTAAATAAATTGTGAATCTTTAAAGGTTGAAATAACCTTGACATAGTGAAGGGGTTCTACACCAAAATAAAGGGTTCTTCCTGGAACCGTTACATTATGTGGAAGTCCTGTAAACTTTACAACAAATGTTCTCCAAAGAACCAACATTGAAAGTTTTTTTAGAGAACCATAAGTGGTTCTTATATGGTATCACTCCAACGAACTTTTTTGTTTTTATTTTCCATATTTATTACATCTTTTTTAGTATCTTATGCATACATGATACATACACAGATTTTATGCCTTTTACTTTATGACTGTCACTGTTTTTGTGCAATCAGAGAGTCGTCTGATGTGCCCTGCTGCCCAGCGTGTGCTGCTAAGCTGGCTTCTCTGCAGGCTCAGTGCTCTGAGTACAAGGCTCTATACCAGGCTGCTAATGTGGAGAGAGACAGGCTTCTGGAGCTGGCCAAGGTGCAGCAGAGGAGGTACGTAACAGGAACTCACCTGATCCTTGAAAAACGGGCTCTAGACACCGGGTAAAATGCCACAATTCCACCAGAAATATAAAATCAATCAAATATTTGATTCTCGTCTTGATTGTGAAGCTGTACAGACTTTATTAACATAAAACACTCATACATCGTAAGTGTGATGAAGCCAGACAGTCAGAAAGCTTCAGAAACCCAGTCTTGACCCTCTCTTGCAGGGAAGAGGAGGTGAAGCAGAGGTGCCTGGAGGTCGAGCAGAAGCTTCGGGATGAGCGGCGACGCTGTGTGACCCTGGAGCAGCAGCTGGAGAGGGCCAAGCTGGACTTAGATAAAGGACCCAGTCTGAGGGCTAGCCGTAGCAGGACAGGTAACGGTCATATCACCTCATTGCACGACTCATTATAGTACAGGTATAGTCTCACTGCAGAACAGATGTAGCCGCACTGTAGGACAGGTGTTGTCTTACTGCAGGACAGATAACAGCTTTCTGCAGGGCAGGTATATTTTAACTTCAGAACCCGTAACAGCTTACTGCAGGACAGGTGTAGTCTCACTACAGGACAGGTGGAGTCACTACAGGACAGGTGTAGTTTCACTACAAGACAGGTGGAGTCACTGCAGGACAGGTGTAGTCTCACTGCAGGATAGGTGGAGTAAATGCAGGATAACGTCAGTCTCAGATAGGTGGACTCTCACTGCTGGACAGATAACAATTTACTGTAGGATGGGTGGAATCTTGTTATAGGACAGATATCAGCTCACTGTGGGACAAGTGGAGTCTCACTATAAGGACAGTATTCGCTCACTGCAGCACAGAGTTACAGTACACTAACTATAAGAAGAATGTGGCCTTACTACAGAACAAGCGATGTAGTCTCACTGTTGGATAAGTGTCGCCTCACTGTAGGATAAGTGTCGTCTTACTGTAGGACAGGTGTCATCTCACTGCATATGTGGTCGCACTGTAGGACAGGTATAGTCTAGCTGCAGGACAGGTGTTGTCTCACTGTGAGGACAGGTGTTGTCTCATTTCTGGTCAGATGTCGCCACATTGCAAATGTAGTTTCACTTTTGGACAGGTGTAGTCTCACTGCAGATGTATTTTCACTGCTGGACAGATGTAGTCTCATTGCAGATGTATTTTCACTGCTGGACAGGTGTAGTCTCACTGCAGATGTAGTTTCACTGCTGGACAGGTGTAGTCTCACTGTAGATGTAGTTTCACTGTTGGACAGATGTAGTCTCACTGCAGATGTAGTTTAGCTGCTGGACAGATGTAGTCTCACTGCAGGACACATAAGAGCTCATTGCAGAACATATGTTGTCTCAGTGTAGTACAAGTGTAGTTTCATTTTGCAACATCTTTCCAGCTCTCAGTGGGATTTTGCCTGCTTTTATTACTATTTATATCACTATATATTAAATACATAAGGGAAGAGAAATGTAGTTGTATAGTTTCTCCTGCTAAAGCATATTGTTTGATAAACAGTTATGGCACAAATGAGAAATACTGCATATATTACAAGACATGATCGCGTATCCTGACTCTCATATATATATATATATATATATATATATATATAATATATATTATATATATATGTAAAAAGGCCAGTGATGGTGCTGTAAAGCAGTAGGTGAAATAAGAGAAGGATGGTTTCAGGGCTCTGTGTTGTGTTGTGTTTCCCACAGGTGCATCATACAGTGGCTTGAGTCTGCCTGAGAAACAGGAGGGCCTGTCGCCCAGAAAAGCCACAGAGCTGACGCGCGACGCCCAGCTGAGCGAACTCAGCACACAGTGAGTCTGTTTTCCTTTCACCTGTTCAGCCTTTAGACTGCCTCAAAAGTATTCACACCTGCACACTGTGTGCTAACTGTTTATGGCTGGTTAAACTACAGAAGCCAGGTCACACAGACACATTCGGGAATTCATGCTTGCTCACAGTTTTTGGCTACCCGTCTGGGAAAAAGCTGGAAAAAAGAAAAATTGGACGTTTTCATGACTGAATCAAATCCAGTGTCTCTCACTGCAGTGTTAGCTCTTAATTATCGGTTCGGGTGGTTTCAGCACAGCCATGGATGCCTGTAAACTAATCCATTCGTGTCCCTTCAGGCTGGCTGTCCAGCAGGAGGAGCTGGAGGCTTTGAGGACGTCTCTGAAAAACGCTCTGCAGGCCAAGGAGGAGGACTTGCAGCTGTACAGCACCATGATGAGCCAGGTCAAACAGGTTTTCTTACAGGCCCTCAGGCAGCACAAACAGGGCTCAAACCAGGAGACCTAGCCCAGGACTCAACCTCAGGCTTCCTGCTACTCTGCCTTTGGGACTTTGGCTTTGGTCCTGAGACTCCAGGGGCCAGATTTACGAAAGTGTCTGAAGAAATAAGATCCTCTTAAATGTTCTTAAATTAAGTTTTATCCTAACTTAAGGCTTAAGAAAGAAGTTTAGATGAATTATGTTTAGGTCTGTGCCCAGTGATGGTTAATCTAGTAACCATAGTAACAGCCCCCAGTGATGGTAAAAACTCAAATACAGCTGGTTTTAAAAAGTCGTTTGTTTATGATTTCATGTAAATGGTAGTATGACACTAGTATTCCAACACATAAAAATATCATAACTTTCAAACATCTTGGGTGATGTGAGATCAAACATCGTCAGACATCAGACAAAACAACTTCAGGTCTCTGAAAAAACATAAAATCATGTTTAGCACACATGAATGGCCTCAGTCGTAGCTTTGAAGATGAAGGCAACAAGTTAAGCTAAGCAGCCACAAACTATCTGAGTAAAGTTTGTGTGACATTCGTAACTCTGTTCTTTCAGACTAGGTTAATTACAGGTTTGTGGCAAAATTAAAGATGACTGTATATGACTGTGTCATGCACCCAGTGACAGCTGTGAGAGCCGGCATGAAGGCAGGGCCTGAATCATGAACACCGCTAAGGGATGCGAGTGACGGCAAGAGCAACGAGCTCTCAGCCCCTCTCGTTCTCTTTGTTGCCTCTCTGCTCTCTTTAAAGGTGCCCACGGTACGGCCGTTAGATCAAAATCAGCTGGCTCTCATTAAGGGCTGCCTGAGCCGAATGGGACGGAGGTCGTTGCTCCGCCTCCCCGTCACCGCAATCGAGCGTGAGGTGTAGTGTGGTGGCCTCGCTGTGGAACAGTAGGCGGGGCCTGGGCAGCGGAGTTCGAGACTCGTCTCCCATCTTCGTGCCTCTCGTGGCCGTCATGGCCGTCGTCCCCTCTCTCCTGACTGACGTCCTCCTCCCGCCGTCACCCGCGTCCCTCGCCGGTGTTCGGGATTCAGGCCCTGCCTTCCCGCCAGCTCTTGCGGCTGTCAGCGGGGGCCCGAGGGACAGGTGCATGGCACAGCAACATTCTTTTATCACTTTGCTCATATGTCTGCCACAGAGTTAGGAACCGTCACAAAATTACCAGAGGGAAAAGTGTTACTATTATTATTATTATTATTATTATTATTATTATTATTATTATGTGTGTGAAATAACCTTTGTGGAAATATAAAAGGAAAAGACCCCCCCAACCGAAGACATTTACCACAGTTGTTCTCCACATAGTTACCCAAATAAGAGGACTGTTACTAGCACAGGCCTAACTGTGTTATCCTTTAAACACTATCACCTCTTTCTTGATGTCTTTCTCACCTTTTCTAACTATGAAACTATGAAAACTATGAACATATAAAATGTTCTTAAAAAAATTCTCCTTACCATAATCTCACGCCTGACAGACAACCTATTTATAAAAGTAATAAACACCCTTTGCTATTAATTGCAAGATGATATAGGATGCTTTATGAAGTAAATGTAGTAAGCCTGGCATTTTTAGGGGTTGACATAAAAGTGACAGGCATGGATTCCTTCTGTAACACCTTAAAAACTGTACTTTTGTGCTTATATATATATATATATGTGTGTTTTTATTTAGGTCTCCGCATAAGCCTTGTATAAGCTCCATCATTTAAGAAGGATGCTTTATAACAATGTTATAAATGAAATAAAATGTCCATCACTTTAAGGCGCCTTATGTCAGTACATTATCATTTATTTCATAAAAGATCTAATGCCATCTTGCGATTAATGACATACGCTGTTCAGAAATACTCAAATGTTGCTTTATAAATATGTTATTCAATGGTTATACAAGTCCTTATGTAGGTAAGTGTTACCAAATTGAGTAATTCTTTAAGAGAATGTGTGAGAGGTTTTATTTGTCGAGAATTGCAGGGTTTATCTCAAGACCCATTTGGAAAGCTTAGGTGAATCTGGCCCCAGGCTCTGCAGAACATTGGCCATTTCTCAGGGAACCGGTTCCAGGCTCGTTTTGTCGTCTCCAGGTCCCTTCACACCTGTCAGAGTGACACTGTAAAGAAGGCGTTTTGATGTACTCTGAAGCTGATGAGACCTGCTGGCCGTTTCAGCCCTGTCCTCCGTTAATCACTGCAAAGTGAATTAGCTGTCTGATGTTTCACTTAAAGAGGAGGCGCACGAGGGACATCAATATGTGCCAGCATTATGAAGCTGCTAGATGCGAAGGAGATAGAGCTGTGAGTGCAGCATCTGTTGTCCAGGATGAAAAATGAAAGCTTTTGTTGCTGTAATTAGCTCCGGGTTAGCTGCTGTCGTCCTTGAATCAATACATCATTGCCAGTTATGTTATTAGAGCAGGATTCTTGTTTATGTCTCAGCTCATATTTAATACATGAAACTGCTAATGTGGAATTAAAGCAAGCTTCTCCATATTAAAGGCATCAAATACCGTGTAATACTGCACTGAGTTTTTGCAGTAGATCACAGTTGACAGAATGAAAAAGAAAAAAGAAAGTGTATGAATTTATTCAGGCAAATTGATGTTTTTTTTTCTTCATCTTCTTCTGGCACTCGAAAACGAAAACAAACTTTCCAGCTCGTGTTTTCTGACGCACATTGCACATCATCAGTATTTGGCTCGCGTGCAGCGTGAAACCATGAATGAAAACCAAAACCCCAATGCCCTTGGCTCTCCGTCCGAGAGGCGTCTCTGAGGACTCTGCGCTCATTGTCCTGGACCGTGGAGACCCCCTGCCTGTCTTAAAGGTGGACCAGTGTGCATTATTACTATATTCACTCAACCCACAGCCATTGTATGCGCGAAAGGCCTCTGTATCCCCCACTGGTCACTCTGGTCCTGCTGATACCCCTGAGCCACGAGCGTCCAGGCCAGCCCCCAACGCCCCCACCCCCTCACCACGCCTAATTTAAGCTCATGGCTGGAGCTGTGTGCTCCTCGTCAAGCGCTGCAGTATTCGGTGTTCCCGGAACGCGGAGGGCTCGCGGCAAGCCCCGGGGCCTTAGCCAGCGCGAACGCACCGCAGCGCAAAAATAAAACAGCAGCCCGGCTCGGACCGGCTGGAAAAAGGGGCTCCTCTGTGCGCGAGGGTCACAGAAAGCGGCCTGTATGTGGAAGTATGTGTGTGCTGCGGCGGGGCGGGGGGTGGTGGTGGGGGGGTGCTGAGTGGCGTGTTTATGGCCTGGCGCCGTGCCAGCGCCCTCGCGGGGAGCTTCGCTTCCTACAGCAAGCAATCAGGTGTCTCTTCCCATTAGCGTCCACTCGTCCGTCCGCGCTGACCGGGGACACCGGAACGGCCCAATGAGCCGAGAGCGCGCTGGCCGAGCTCCGCCGTGCTTACTGCCGTTACAGGACCCTCATAATCACGCTGAATGGATCACTAACAAGCGCTCGCTTTCTAGAATGTCACCCTTGAGTTTTAGAACGCTTATGCTTACTTGTGGTCTTTGAGCAAGAAACAGGCATAAACAGATAGAACATAGGAACGTGTAAGAGTTTACTTAGGCATTCTAGAACACAGCTGGTCAGTGTTCTACTTGCATGTCTGTGTAGAGTTCTTCTAGAATGCATAGGTGTTCTTGTGCTCTAAAATGCTTGCTTATGCTTCCTTGTGACCTTAGAACACTTGTGTCTGCCCCAATGCTAGAATGTTTGTGTACTTATGTCCTAGAACATACAACTGCTTGTGTGTTAGAACACTTTAGTCTGCTTGTGTTCTAGGATGCTTATGCATACTTGTGGTCTTTGAACACAAGCAAGAGTAAGCAGCTAGAACATAGATACATGTAAGAGTTTACTTAAGCATTCTAGAACACAGCTGAACAGTGTTCTACTTGTGTGTCTGCCTAGAGTTCTTCTAGAATGCATAGGTGCCCTTGTGTTCTATGCTTATGCTTAGTTATGGGCTTAGAACGCTTGTGTCTGCCCAAAAGCTAGAATGTTTATGCGTTCTTATGTTCTAGAACATGCGTGTGCATGTGTGTTAGAACACTTTAGTCTGCTTGTGTTCTAGAATGCTTATGCATACTTGTGATCTTTGAACACAAACAAGCATAAGCAGCTAGAACATAAGTACATGTAAGAGTTCACGTAAGCATTCTAGAACACAGTTTGTCATTCTCGAAGAACTCTAGGCAGACACAACACTGTCCAACTGTGTTCTAGAATGCTTATGTGAACTTTTACATGTATCTATGTTCTAGCTGCTTATGCATATTCATGGGCTTTGAACACAAACAAGCATAAGCAGCTAGAACATAGGTACATGTAAGAGTTCACTTAAGCATGCCAGAACACAGCTGGACAGTGTTCTACTTGTGTGTCTGCCTAGAGGACTTCTAGAATGCATAGGTGTCCTTGTGTTCTATGCTTATGCTTAGTTGTGGACTTAGAACACTGTGTGTGTTTATGTGTACTGATGTTCTGGAACATGCGTCTAGAGGTTTGTTAGAACAGTTTTGTCTACTTGTGTTCTAGAACGCTTATGCTTACTTGTGGTCTTAGAACAAATACGTCTGCCTGACTTCTACAATATTTATGCATACTTGTATTCTAGAACGTGTCTTCCTATGTTGTGGATTGCCTAAGCATACTTGTTTACAGCATGCATACCTGTGTTCTAGAGTGCTTTTACTCAGTCATGTTAAAGCGTTTATGCATCTGAAGAACCCTTTAATCATGCAATGGGTTTTTGAGTGTTCATGGTTCTATATAGAACAATTTTCTTTGCTAAAGAAGCCTTTAGGTACAATCTTTATTGAGTAAGTGTAGAATATTTATACTTGTTCTAGAACGCTTATGTGTACTTATGTTCTAGACGATTGTGTTTATGCTTATGCATATTTCATGTTCTAGAACGCTGAGTTTGAGCCGTTGGTCTGCAGAGTTCACTGTGTTCACTCGGCTAAACAGCACAGTTCTAGAGCTCTTTGTATGTGGCAGAAGTTCCATTACCGGTTTCCCACTGAGAGCTGATTAGTTAAAATCGTTCTTTAATCACGGTTACCTGC